TTTTTTTAAAGTAACTCACGCGGTGTATCAGCTGTAAGTTTATGGACTTACAACACTAACTTACGGGGTTCGATTCCCCGTGCAGGATACAGCAGATGGCCCAACGTGGTTTTGTGCTAAAACAAACAAAGTCTCTCAATAAAGCACCCAATTACTAATTCAATGGTATTTAAAATCAACTTTTGATGAGAACAAACTATCTGTGCAGAGCGAAACAAAATATCAATCTGCTAGTGAGTTTAGCTAATTAAATATATTTTTTTACGTATTTGTTTACAAAGGTTAGAATGCATTGTTTAATTAGCTGAATACCCAGTCTCTGTGTTGACGTTTCGAATCACACAATACCAACGCCATTTATTAAATAATGTGTAATAAATACCCATGATTCTACATCGAAGAAACCGGAAGAAAATTGGAAGCTAGATCCATTGAAGATAATAAAAATCCTCTCTCCCAAGTTCACAATCATTCCAACTTTAAGAACAAACCCCTAATAAAAACGTTATTATGTTAAACAAAGAACCAAACATTAACAAACGTCAAGCCAATAAGCCATTTTAATTGAACAAAGCAACCCTACTCTGAACCAGCACCCCAGAGTGCCAAAGTACAAAGCCATTAAGCAATCTCCGGTCATGCGATTTCTTTGTTTCGTACTGTATATTCATGTGTCTAGATAAACTACTTATTGAGAAGTTGTGCATTTATTATTGTTTTAAGCTTGTAATAAAGTTTTCTCGATTACACATCCAAGCCACCTCTAAACTTTATTTCTCTCAATTACACAGTTTGTTTTTTACACTAATTTCTTTTGATGTAATTACAAATGATTATTGAATTATTTGTAAAAAATGTTTCCTTTGATTATTTTTTTAAAAAAATGTACATGTTTCTTATTAACAACCGTTTCAAATTTCTCCGCACAATTCACTTTATATATTACGATTCATCAATAATCACTACCAAGAGCTTTTCGATAACATATTCCTGACAGTTTTCCATTTTTCCTTTAAAATTCAATAGAAATCTGTGCGTACAAATGATGATAGAAATGTCATTATATCAGAAATAAAAAAAGAGAACCAAAGAAAAAACTCTCTATGATGATAAACTTTGATTAATTGCATTGAATATGATATCAAAATTGCTAAGATATCCAAAAAGGAACAAAAGTAATGAACAGCTCTATAGGAAGTTGATGGCTCCGTTTTCTCTCACTAGTCTCGATAATGACACTTAAGGCTTATTGACTGACATGTTGCAATTACCTTATAGTGGAAAAAATGGACAATGAATTTGTTGTTGGCATTGCAACTCATTTATTGTGAAGAACGCAATCTCTGTTAAGCCTAATATTATCTATTTACTTGTGGAATTTTACCTTTATGAAGATAAATCGAGACGATATATGGAGTAGTTTATACATCTTAGGCTCCTTTTGAATCTGCAGTAGCCTGATTTATTTATGTATTTTTAGCAAGCATCTAAAAAAACGTCAACGTAATTACCTATTCATTGTGTTAAATTAATTATGGGTTGTTTGTTAGCTTCTATTTTTTTTCATTATTTTGCGGAAAGCTGCTCAAGAGTTATTCGTGTAAGCTGTCTCTAATTTTACTGATAGATTATAGGGATCAACAGCAACCACCACCAATTCTTGGGACTATTCTTGTCTGACAGAATACTAGGATTTGAATACCTCTTTTACAATGCACCCAAGGCCCTAAAAAGCGCGAAGCACATTTTTGCGAGAATGGTGCACGAATTTTAGGATTCGCAGTCCGAGTATGCTAGCCACAGGGCCACGCCCAGCTAGTGCAAGTATTGATGTCAGTGCTTTTATTTATAAGAACAAAGTATGAGAGTTTCACACGTGGTTTCCTCACCAAGTTTATCGTTAATTTCGTGATATTGGTTTAAACTTGATTTCCTCATAAAGTTAATCCTTAATTTCATGGTGTTAGTTTCACACTTAATTTTCCCATAAATTTAACCCTTATATTTCATTGTGGTGGTTTCACCTTTGGTTTCCTCACAAAGTTAATCCTTAATTTCATGTTGTTCATTTCACATTTGAATTCCCCCCAAAAGTTAATCCTTAATTTCGTGGTGTTGGTTTCACATTTGAATCCCCCCAAAGTTAATCCTTAATTTCGTGTTGTTCATTTCAAATTTGAATTCACCCCAAAGTTAATCCTTAATTTTGTGGTGTTAGTTTCACATTTGAATTCACCCCAAAGTTAATCCTTAATTTCGTGGTGTTGGTTTCACATTTGAATTCCCCCCAAAGTTAATCCTTAATTTCATGGTGTTAGTTTCACACTTAATTTTCCCATAAATTTAATCCATATATTTCATTTTGGTGGTTTTACCTTTGGTTTCCTCACAAAGTTAATCCTTAATTTCATGGTGTTGGTTTCACATTTGAATTCCCCCCAAAGTTAATCCTTAATTTCGTGGATTTCCTTAATTACAAAATTAACCTTTACTTTCACACTTGATTTTCTTACAAAGTTAATTTTTAATTTCGTGTTGTTAAATATTTAAAAGAACACTTCATCGATAACCATTATACACTTAATCATTTCTAACTAAGCAAAAACATATGTGTAGGTTAACCTATTGAAATCAGTTTAGCCGCTTTACTTGATATTTGTGTAATCATGATTTATTTTTGCTTCTCTTCCTATTCCCAAAATTGTTTAGATCCATTTAAACCTATCTTGCCCCCACTAACAGAGATACTGGGGAAATTACCCTTGGACCTACTTCCTCCATTGCCTTATGGTACGAATATTCAGTATTATCAGACTGCAATTTCCATTGCAACAAGTTTCTGCGAAGGATGGCGAAGTCAGTCTCAGACCACGCATTTTAACATACTTTCAATAGAAAGTTTCACTGTAAAACATCCACGATCAAATACACAAAAGTCTATTTGGAGCAAAATCGGGTATTTAAAATGCATGTTTTTAAATTATATTTCTGCTATTCTAGCTTTTACAGACATTGATTTCGAGATGTGGCTGGAAACTTGTGTCTTTCGCTTATTAGGCTTCCACAACCGTAAATCCTCGTATATTATCCTGCTAATGATACGAGAAGAAATGCCCAGCTCTATCACAGTATCTTTTCGTATCGATGAGTTTTCTTTCTTAACTATAGTTTCCACTTTATAGATAAGGGCGTTGGTGAGGATTGGTTTAGTCGGTCGTTTCTGAGACCATTGCTGTTCTATGCGCTCCGCTGTAGGAGCTTCTCCAGTTCATACAGGAACATATTAGTGCATTAACATATTCATATCGTTCCTACAAGGTGCCAACAACGCCCTCTAAGGCATCAACAATATTAAGTTATTGAGTTCGATCTTAAACAACGCATGTACGAAACATATGCTTGAGTTTCTGCGGAATTTCTTGGAGCTATAAAAACAAGAAATCGGAGCCATGACTTTTATCTTGTAGTGTAAGTGTGAACAGATACAGACATGGAATTTCAGTTCCGTCTACAGCTTGATAGTTTCGGTTTGGTTTGCACGTGCATAAATATATTGTTATATTTTGCAAGAAAATACAGCGATGACCCATTTTCATAAAATATTTGTGAGAAAGTACAGCAAAGGCACATTTGGAATAATTTTCTCATACTTCCCCCTACCTCCCCCTAGACAGCTTTCTAATACATTCGCTTCAATATATCCAATTAGAAAATAGAATATGTGTTAACAACTAATTATCGTTCTCATAAGCACAAATATTACATTCTACACGTAAGAATAGTAGCTCCTTCCATTTAATCAGTAAGTAGAGTGACCTATATTTTTCGTAACTCAAATATTTTTGGCGTTAGAGGCTATATATTATTTATCTGAAATACGTTTCTAAAACAACATTACCTTCTACCAAACTCAATATAAGTTCTATGTTCCATTTTAGAGATATATTCAGATCTCTATGGAGAATAAATCTTTCAAGAATTATTATGGTAACACCGGTCTTTCTATGTTAAAACATTTAAGTAATATATAATTGGTATATGCCTTCAAACACAATTCTAGAATGATACTATACGGGTCTCAGGAAAAGGGTCACGGAGAATGATTGCCTTTTCAGCCGTGGAAGCATTATAATGTGACGGTCAGTCCCATTTGCGCTGATGAAAGAGTAGTCCGAGAGTTGGATGTGGATGGTTTTGACAGACTAACTGCCTTCCCTCTAGTGTATCGCTTCTAAATTAGGGACGAATAGCGTAAATAACACTCAAGTAGCTTTACGCTTAATTAATCTAATAACAAACAAAAAACGGGTCTCAGGTATAGTATTGCTTTGTAGAAATATGTAGTTAAGTCATTTTCGAAGTTATTGTTAAATGTTAAAAGTTTCTTCAATCATTATTAAGAATTATAATTACAGAATCTTTTAGAAACAAATAGAGTTGCGCCCTCTAGTTTCATTTGACTGTTGGTTTTGAATTTCGCGCAAAGATACACGAGGGCTATCTAATTTAGCAGTGTAAAACTAGAGGGAAGGCAGCTAGTCATCACCACCCACCGCCAACTCTTGGGCTACTTTTTGACCAACGAATAGTGGGATTGACCGTCACATTATAACGCCCGCACGACTGAATGGGTGAGCATGTTTGGTGTGACGGGGATTCGAACCCGCGACTCTCAGATTGCTAGTCAAGTGCCCTAACCACCTGGCCATGCCGGGCCAATTTCAGTTGATTGTGTATAAAAAATTCAACCGTTGTTTTTTTACAGTGTGTTTTTTATGTGTGAATTTATATGGGAATTAATTTTCCTTAGGATTGTTTAGAGGATTGCAGTAGGACTGTCATTAGACCTTTCATTAGATTCTTTGGGACTGTTTAGTTTTCTACAAATCTAAGATAAAAGTAGTTGTAATGTTGTTTCAAAAGCTTTTAAAGGCATTACTATGAAGGGCTTGGGTTTGGATTTCATTATGTAAACGTTTAAAATAAAGCTAGTTTTTAAGAATTACTTTAAATTGTAAAGTTTTCTGTTAATAATTACCAGTTAATTATAATATCATACATAGGACTAACATGGCGTTTTCAAGTATCTATAGATCATTATATAGGCTTCGTATCTTGTTTAGTAACAATTAATTTATTCTAAATTATTAGAATTTTATGAACAACTATACAGTAGATCAGAAAATGTCATTTATTTATTTTTTTTTACCTTTAGTTACATCAGCGAATGTTTTCAAATATCCGTTTATTTTATCCTCTTCCACTGCAGAGGACCCGGCATAGCTAGGTGGTTAGGGCACTCGACTCGCAATCTGCGGTCGCGGGTTCGAATCCCCGTCCCACCAAACATGCTCGTTCCTTTCAGCCGTGGGAGCGTTATAATGTGACGGTCAATTCCACTATTCGTTGGTCAAAGGGTAACCCAAGAGTTGGCGGTGGGTGGGGATGACTAGCTGCCTTCCCTCTAGTCTTACACTGCTAAATTAGGGACGGCTAGCGCAGATAGCCCTCGTATAGCTTTGCGCGAAATTCAAAATAAACAAACAAACCACTGCAGAGGCCCTCCAGTGGCACATCGGTATGTCTACGGACTTACAACGCTAAAAACCAGGTTTAGATTACCGTGGTGAGCAGAGCATAGATAGCCCATAGCGTAGTTTTTGTGCTTAACGTCAAATAACAAATCCACTGCAGATAAAGAGGTTACATTGGTTGATATTTTAAGGAAATTAACTAATTTCTTCCAAATTTAATGCCAGGATCTTCGGTTGTTTGGTGCTTCCATATGAGTC